ATCAATTTTCACTTTACTTGTATCATGGAAGTTTGTAAATGGAAGTTTGATTAACTATTTTTGCTCGCGTACAATCCAATCAAGTCACTGTATTCTGTGATATAAAAAGGCTAAGGTATAAGAAGAAGTTTGTAATAGCCTGACATTGTGAAGATGAAGTTTGTAATAGCTTGACATTGTGAAGATGAAGTTTGTAATAGCTTGACATTGTGAAGATGAAGTTTATAATAGCTTGACATTGTGAAGATGAAGTTTGTAATAGCTTGACATTGTGAAGATGAAGTTTGTAATAGCTTGACATTGTGAAGATGAAGTTTGTAATAGCTTGACATTGTGAAGATGAAGTTTATAATAGCTTGACATTGCGAAGATGAAGTTTGTAATAGCTTGACATTGTAAAGATCCAAGTTTGTTTAAAATTGGCAACATTGATCACACCAGTCTACACAGAAAGAGAAATCCAACATACCTGCATAGTCCAATTATTTTTGGCAACCCTCTTCAACTGATTTCTAGCTCTAGGAGTCTGTTTTAAAACCATATAGGCTGCTGCCATACCATATAAGGCTCCCACATGGTCTCTCTGGAATTCAATAAGAATTATAAAACATTTAAAATACGCAGATTTTGGTTTTATATTTTCTAAAAAGCCACTTGAAATAACAAAAACTGCAAGATACACTCTTCTCCACTACACACACTACAGCTTTACTTTCATTTTTTAGGTAGATTATTCAAATTATAAGAACTTCAAGAGAAAAAACTGATCAGCCCCGTGCTTTAATGGGAATTTTTTCTCATACCTCTCCGACAAAATCTCATTAAACCTTGTTAAACCAAAAAGAACATAGGATAAAAACTGTAGCCTCTATTTTGTATTCAAGAAATGAGAACGGATGGATGGCCTAAGTTTTTTATGAATTTTATTCTCATCTCATAGAAACTATGCAACATAAAAAGAACATCACCTCAGCAGATGCTATTTCCATGAAAGCATTCAGCGCTTTTTCCACAGCGGGTTTCTGTTTGGTAGCTATCTTGGCCATGTTATCTAACAGTTTATGGCGGATATCACCAGGCTTCGGTTTACATTCCTAAAATAAGTTTAAAACTTTTAATGACAAACTTAATATACGTAGGGAGACAATCAGTATTTGAAGACAGGCTGTTTCAATGTTGGTTAGATTGTTGAAATCCTTACATGACCGCATTTGTTTGTCCAATAAATGATGGCAATGTTATCAGAATTTTTCTTATCTTAAAAAGATTTGAAACTTATTGAAGGTAATTTCGTAGCAGATGACAATTAAAGTACTTAGACTATATTTTCATATGTTCAAAGAGAAAATCAGTATCTGTAGACATGCTGTAGCATAGTTGATAATAGTGTAGAAATCTTTACATGATGTCATTTGCTTGGTAAAGTCCGATAAATAATAGCAGTGGCATTAGAATTTTTCATATTCAAGCCTACTTCACATTATAACCGAAGATGACAGCATTTCAACTCATTACTAATTGAATTATTCCTATAACACTGGGTTTTAATATTTCAAAACACCAGGCCACATATTCCTCGAAACAATCAAGCGATAGGATATCCTAGAATCAATATTAGAAGATAAGAAGCTAGGATATCCTAGAATATATGTTAGAAGATAAGAACCTAGGATGTCCTAGAATCAATGTTAGAAGATAGTAACCTAGGATGTCCTAGAATCAATGTTAGAAGATAAGAACCTACGATATCCTAGAATCAATGTAAGAAGATAAGAACCTAGGATATCCTAGAATCAATGTTAGAAGATAAGAACCTAGGATATCCTAGAATCAATGTTAGAAGATAAGAACCTAGAATATCCTAGAATCAATGTTAGAAGATAAGAACCTAGGATATCCTTGAATCAATGTTAGAAGATAAGAACCTAGGATATCCTAGAATCAATGTTAGAAGATAGTAACCTAGGATGTCCTAGAATCAATGTTAGAAGATAAGAACCTAGGATATCCTAGAATCAATGTAAGAAGATAAGAACCTAGGATATCCTAGAATCAATGTTAGAAGATAAGAACCTAGAATATCCTAGAATCAATGTTAGAAGATAAGAACCTAGGATATCCTAGAATCAATGTAAGTTATAGAAATATCAAAACAGAACCTGAAACATGTTTTTACTCAGAGTTATAGAAATATCAAAACAGAACATGAAACATGTTTTTACTCTCAGTTATAGAAATATCAAAACAGAACTTGAAACATGTTTTTACTCAGAGTTATAGAAATATCAAAACAGACCCTGAAACATGTTTTTACTCAGAGTTATAGAAATATCAAAACAGAACCTGAAACATGTTTTTACTCTCAGTTATAGAAATATATAAACAGATATCCTAGAATCAATGTTAGACGATAAGACTTAAATGTCCTAGAATCAATGTTAGACGATAAGACTTAGATGTCCTAGAATCAATGTTAGAAGATACGAACCTAGGATGTCCTAGAATCAATGTTAAAATATAAGAACCTAGGATATCCTAGAATCAATGTTAGAAGATAAGAACCTAGGATGTCCTAGAATCAATGTTAGAAGATAAGAACCTAGGATGTCCTAGAATCAATGTTAGAAGATAAGAACCTAGGACATCCTATAATCAATGTTAGAAGATAAGAACCTAGGATGTCCTAGAATCAATGTTAGAAGATAAGAACCTAGGATGTCCTAGAATTAATGTAAGAAGATAAGAACCTAGGATATCCTAGAATCAATGTTAGAAGATAAGAACCTAGGATGTCCTAGAATCAATGTTAGAAGATAAGAACCTAGGACATCCTAGCGCTGAGATCGTTTCCAGAATAAATAACCATTATCCTGCCCAGTAAAAATCTTACAATCATTTCGTAATATTAATTTTTCATAAAAGGTAAAATTCTACGGTAATTGAACAGTTTGGACTGACCTTTAAAAGTTTTTCTGCAGTTCTGACAGCCATTTGTTCACTATCCAGTTTCTCTCTCTCTGTAGCACTGTTACTATAAATAAACAATTATAAATCCTTCCTAATCCAACTTTATAATCCAAAATATTGATCCATTGATCCACTTGTGTTTAGTTTTACAGACAGGGACAGTATGTTGTAAGTGCATTTGTCAAGGGTATTTCGTTATATGGTTATCATGAAAGAAACGTCTTTCATAACACTGTCCCTCACCAGTAAAACCTGTCCTTCCCTCAGATTTAAAACCTGACCCTCACAAGTAAAACCTGACCCTCACAAGTAAAACCTGTCCCTCACAAGTAAAACCTGTCCCTCACCAGTAAAACCTGTCCTTCCCTCACAAGTAAAACCTGTCCTTCCCTCACAAGTAAAACCTGTCCCTCACAAGTAAAACCTGTCCCTCACAAGTAAAACCTGTCCCTCACCAGTAAAACCTGTCCTTCCCTCAGATTTAAAACCTGTCCCTCACAAGTAATATCTGTCCCTCACAAGTAAAACCTGTCCCTTAAATGTAAAACATTTCCCTCCTTAAGATGTAAAATCTGTCCATCTTTCAGATGTAAAACATGACCTCCACAGGTAAAACCTGTCTCTCACAAGTAAAACATGATCTTCAATTGTAAAACCATTCCCTCAAATGTAAAACCTGTCCCCTCCCTCAGATGTAAAACATGACCCCCAACTGTACGGCTGGTTTCTAGGAATAAAGAACTTGACATGTTTAAACAGAATTATAACCCATGTACATCATATCAGGTTATAGGATAACTTGCCAGGCAAGGTAACATACGCCCACTGTCAGCTG